TTAAGTCTGGAAATGGGGCAGCCGACCTGCTACTGATGGCAAGCATGCTTGGCGTTTATCTTCCCCAGCAGTGAGCTGGCTGTTGATGGATGTGGTTTGTGGCTGAGGAATTTTGCTCTGATGCAGGCTATAGAGAGAGTGATTACTCTTAACTTGTCTAGTTGGTGGGATGAATTCTCTCTGCCTCACTTGGTTGCAGCTAAGAGGTACGCATAGCATTGACAAGACCATATTCCTTTTTTTTAGCTATATGCCCACCGTGGGACTTGAACTCACAACTCCAAGATCAAGAGTCGCATGTGCTTCCTACTGAGCCAGCCTCACGCCTCTGTTTGTTACTCAATCTTAAGCTCATTTTCCTGTGATTTCAAGGGCGAAGTCACGGCAGAAAGGATAGACGGGGTACAGCGGATACTTGGGATGGGGTGCGGGCTGGTTTATCCCTGTCTCGGAGTTCATTTGCCATTAGTGAGCGTTGTCACCTCCAGTCATGGATTCTCTGCTTGAGAGGATTTCTGAAAGCCCCCTTGTCTTGTGGCACTTACCCAGGGCAGGCAGTTGGGGCCAGCACTTATCTGACGCTGGAAGTTGTATTTGCCGGGGTGGTTTTGCTCACCATGGAAGGGTTGAGAACCCATCCCAGTGAATAAAGGTTCTCTCTTGTAAGGTTAGAGTCCTGTATGCCATGTACCATGGGCAGAGACTAGGTTGAAGAGAAATTTGAGGTTACAAAAAGACCCTTTTTACACTGTTAGGTTGATGTATGCCCAGATCTCCCTCTTCTACATACTTGTATCAAAGGGAAATTCTGCCTCATGTTTCAAAAACATCGGGCTAGGTGATCTGAACCTTGTGACTGGATGCTGAGAGGTCAGGGCACCTGAAGTTTTGTGCCACTTCGGGCCCCCAAGACTCCCTATTGCCACCCGACTTTCCTTACCGAAAAATAAAAGGAAGGTTTCTCTGGTTTAAATCCCTCAGGTATGGGAACAAGAGTGTTTACTTCCATAGCAGTGTTGTGTAAGACTGTCCCCTCTGACTACCTGCCGGAGAGCAGCCCTGCTGTTCGACTCCTTCCTCAGAGCAGGTCCAGAGCTATTCCTGGTGGAGCTTCTGAAACCCTTGAAGTAGCAATGCCTACTCTGTATCTGGAGGAAGAAGGGAACCCTGGCATGTGCTGGTTGCTTCCTGTATGCTTGGCATGCTGGGTGCCTTCCCACTGCCTCTGACCTTCATGTCAGCCCCAGCGCGGTGGAAATGCACTGGAGTGGCGTGGGGAGGCCGGGAGCCTAAGGTGACAGCAGTGAGGGCCGAGAACTCCCTTTGGTCTATCCTCCCTGAGCACTTCACCATCCCCTCTGCTCTTTGCTTTCTCTACTTCTTTAGTTCTATAGTGATTAATCATCCTTTCCTTTTTAGTTAGATTTCCTGGCTTCAGCCACAGGCCCCTGTGCTCCTAGAGGCTTCCATTACCAGGGAAGTGATGAAACCGGTGGAAGCTTTCAAATGAAAGATTTTAGTCCATCCTGTAAGTAGCACTGGGGGGACCAGAGACCCAGGAAGCAGCCACTGTTCCCCATTCTGACACTGCTGCTGATTTAGGAATAAGCAGTTCAGTAAGCACTATCGCTTGACTGGTTCCTCTCCTCACCACACCTCTGTAAGGTGGATATTCTCTGCCTCTTCATCATGGGAAGGCTGGAGGCTCAGAGGTCTTGCCTCTGGGTCATGGAAAGCCGGCCCTGACTCAGGTTCCAAACCCATTCATGATGCTGTCACGAGGCCTCTGACGCTGCTGTGAGTTCCATGTCTCTTGATGCGTAATAGGGAGGCAAGGAATTGTTTAACAAGATGGCTTGCCCTTTATGGAGCAGGAGGATCCTTTTGACTTGGCTTTGTTTTGTCCCTGTAGTTCTGGGCAGATTGCCTGCCTCCAGTTAGGAACGGCCTCGAATGCCATCAATGTGAAGGCAGTTGGTTCAGGTCAAGGTTGGGGCTCCGTGTGAAAGGCCAGTAGAAAAGACCACAGCTAGCTTCTAGTACACGTTCCTTCTGGAAGACGGAGTGGAGTGGAGTGCGTCTTAGAGGTATATTAGTAACTTCAAGGAAGTTTTAAACCTGTCCGCATTTGAAGAGCAATCAATAAGCCGAAAGGCATTCCCAAAGCAGGGTTTGTGTGAGCGGTGCCTGGATCAAGCAGTGTAGCTCTCAGCAGTGATCCTTTCTACCTTTTTCTCTTCTGACCTTTTGAGAAGAGCCCTAGCATTGGATCGTCTTGAACGCACATGAGGCAAATAGGCATAGATATGTTCAGAAAATTGAGCCTTTGAAGTCCATTCCTACACTGGGGTCAAATAAGAAACCTTGGTTTGGGGTACCTGGGTGGCTCGGATAAGTGACTCCCTTTGGCTCAGGTCATGATCCCAGGGTCCTGGGACCCAGTCACAGGTTCCCTGCTCAGTGGGGAGTCTGCTATCTGCTTTCTCTCAAATGAATACATAAAATCTTTTTTTAAAAAAAGAAAGAAACTTTGGTTTGAAACAGAAAGTGATCATGAGCAGGTATGAACCCTGCCTTCACTCACCCCAAGGCCCTGAATGGGCTTGTATGTGCAGGCTGAAATGACAGGTCCCCTCGAGTGAAGCCGAGTGACCAGGGAAGCAGGCCTGACTCACTGGCTCTCGACTTCCTCCCACGGCCTCACAAGTGTGTGTGTATACAAAATGCAGCCCAGGGTTCTGCACGTTATTAGAATAAAGAGAAACCTTCTTTGCTAAATGTATGGCGTGTGCTAGGAATTCTAGAAACTATCTTGCTCTTTACGGGGATCCTGGAATGCTAGTACTAGACCCATGGGTTTTGCCCCAGAACTTTCTGCTGCAGACTTTTCTGACCGCCTCTTCCAGACTGTTTCCTGCTGCTGGGGGCAGTGTAATTGCCCACTTCCTTTGTGGCCTCTTCCAACAAAATGCCAATGAATGTCACCGATAAGGAGACAAAGGACTCCCCGGTGGTGACAAAAATGTCCCAGGTGCTGGTTGTCTCTTCTGTCTTGTGCAATCCCTGTCCACGTAGGTCCTGCTGCTACCATTTGGGGGCTGGGGGGTTTGTTTATTTGTGCCCAGAAGTGGAGAAAATAACGTGCCTCTTGCGCAACATCAGCTCAGGGGCCCCTCCCAGATCCTCACCGTGAGATGTAAACACCTTTATCCTCAACAAGTCCGGTTCAGTCCAAGAAGCTACTCTTTCTTTAACCCGGTGCTGGTTTCTGGGAACAGCACCATGTGTGTATTTCAGAGTTATTAGAAAGCTACACACTCATGCACACTCACACAAACCTGGTGTGGTAGGTCCTCTCCAGAGCAGGCCACCAACAGTTTCCCATTTCTGGGTATGTGTTCTGCTCCTCCCAGTAAGACTTTTTTCCTTCTTGAGGGTGGGCTGGACTTTTCACTTGTTTTGATTAATCGAGTGATTAATAGAATGTGATACTCTGGCAAGCTTCCACTTTGGCTGTTGGAAACCAGCGGAAATGTTTTCCAAAGCAGAAGGTTGAGCTATTGTGAACAGTGAGGGCTGTGTAAGAGAGAGACCACGAGGGAGAGGACCAAGAAGCTGCAGACGATAGCACCCAAATCCCAGACCTCTCCCCACTGAATGCGGTCTCAGTGGTGACCCCTGCTGACCCCACAGTTAGCTAAAGAAATGCAGCTGAGTCCTGCCAACCTCGCAATTGTGAGAAAGACTGTTGTAAGCCGTTCATTGTTCGGGGATGGTTCCATACACAGCAATGGGGAAATGCAGGAGGAGAACTTTTGAAACGAAAGAGCTGGAATTCAGTTTGGCCCCAGAGGTTCTGTCAGCTGATTGCCTGTGACTGGGAACCAGATGGGTGGGCGAGGGCCACCACCCTGTGTAACTCCAGGGGGCGCTCTTCCTACTCCATACAATGGGAGCCTGGGAGCCTGGGAGCTTGGGAACCCCTTCGAGCCCTGTTTGGCCATTCAGCTTGTCTCGCTGTCACTCGGATTGCTTCTAAAGTCCCTACCTGGCCTGGGAATCTTAGTTACTTCCTTAGAGAAGTGGATCAGGAAAAGTGAAGGATATACTGCCCTCTAGACCTGGCTGGTCATCCCTGCTCAACCACACGGCTTCCCAGTGCTGCCTTTTTTTTTTTTTTTTTTTTAAGGATTTTTTTTATTTGACAGAGATCACAAGTAGGCACAGCAGCAGGCAGAGAGAGAGGGGAAGCAGGCTCCCCGGCAAGCAGAGAGTCCAATGTGGGGCTCGATCCCAGGACCCTCAGATCACGACTGAAGCCGGAGGCAGAGGCTTAATTCACTGAGCCACCCAGGCGCCTGGCCCCGCCAGTGCTTCTTGCATTAAGGTCCCAGATCCTGGCTTTCGAGTCTGTCCATAAGCGGATTCAGCCTACCTAGCTTTCATCGTTCCACGATACCTAGTCTCAAAGTGCAGCTGCCTTGGTCTATTCCCTTTCCTGTTTTTGCTGGGAAATCAACACTTCCAGCAGCACCCCCACCCCCAAGGGTGCCGCATTGAACACAATAGTATGGGCAAAAAGGATACTTTAGTCCTAGAACTTGGAAGACACTCAGTTAAAAAGTATCGGTATGTTTCTTGACATCAGAGCTTCTCAAAACCTCCTCCCTGTGGGAGTTTTCCTAGAGGAAGACAGTAACACTTCCTAAAATGATCTCTGGAAGGAGCCTCCCAGATGACTGGTACAATGGAGGCAGGTTCTCGGAAATTTCCTTCCTACCAACTCATTTGGCCCCACTAAAAAGGAATTCCTTGTGAAGTTTGTTTGTTTGTTTTTTTTTTTTTTAAGATTTTATTTACTCGGCAAAGAGATAGCACAAGTAGGCTGAGCGTCAGGCAGAGGGAGAAGTGGGCTTCCCATTGAGTAGGGAGCCCAATGTAGGGCTCCATCGAAGGACACTGGGATCATGACCTCAGTGGAAGGCAGAGGCTTAACAGACTGAGCCACCCAGGCGCCCCTTGGAATTCCTTGTGAAGTCTTAATTCTGCGTGAGACTTGTCTGTGTGATTATGGTGTAGACCAAGTAAAGCAGGGAGAGGTTGGGTGTTGGCATAAAGGCACCTGGGCTCAGATCCTGGCTCTGCCATTTCCTGTATAACTTCGAGCACATGGCTTATCCTCATCGCAGGGGGAGGACAATAATTGTGGAAGGAAATCTGCCTTGCAGAATGCCCGATTTGTACACCCAATGCTTATTTGTACAAAAAAAAAAATGTGGACCTTGCATTCTGGAGGAGACAGATACCAATACATGTGATTTCTAATTGTGATCAGTGCCACGAAGGGAAAAGGACAAGGTGTGTGAGCAGAACTAGAGGGGACTCTGCCTGAGGAAGGGCCTATATTCTAGGGCCTGAACAATGAGGAATTAGTCCAAGGAAGAGAGAAGGGATGGCGGCAGCATTCAGACAGTGGGGACGCCTAGGTATAGACCCCAGTATAAGGGGGTCCTTCGTGTGTGTGCGAGGGCCTTCGAGAAAGCCTGGCTGGAGGGGGAAGGACCTGAGAACACAGGGCCTTGGAGGCCTTCATGAGACTGTCAGGTTTATCCCAAGAAGCTGAACCGTGGCCAGCAGGGGATGGCATGACCCAATTTCTCATTTTAAAAGCTCAGACTCCCGGTGAAGAATGGATGGGCCAGGTCTGGCAGTAAGATGGGAAGCAAGGAAGTCTACCGGGGCTTTCTCCTTCCGGGCAAAGCCAGACTGGTTTGTATTAAGGGTGGTAGTGGAGGGGGAGGAATTGGAGATGAATTTGGAGAAACCAAGAACCAGGGCTTATTATATTCCATGTAGGGAGCGGAGGGTAATTCCCAGGTTTCTAGTTGGGGCAGCAGAGTACAGGGAGGCACCATTTGTGGGGTTGCCCACCACGGTGAGGAGTGGCCTTGGGGCAGTAGGTGAAGAGTTCAGCATTGGGACACGCAGAGTCCAAGAACTACAGGATAGACGTTCCAGAAGCGGTAGCTGCTATTATTTATTTCAGGCACTTGTGTGAAGTGTGGCTCTCTAGAGACAGAGACTCCTGGAGGACCGGAAGTGGGAGTCATTTGTTAAAATACTCTCCAAGGACCTCTCACCGGGCAAGCACTAGCAGTGGCACTGGGATAAAGATGAATGGGATGTGGTCTGTGTACTTGAGAGAAACGGGATGGGAACATCATATGTTAAGTGTCATGGAGGAATGTTCAGGGGTCTTGGGGAACTCATAGGAGGCATAGAATGGGTAGTTCCCCGCTTGGGAGGGCTTTACAGAGATAATTGACTTCAGAGTAAGAATTGCCCAGAATGGCATGTGCAGGAACCAAGAAGCTTGAGGGACGTGGTAGGTTGGAGAACAGTGGAGAGCAAGGCGTGGGCTTTGTACATCTCAACTCCCTGTTAAGGGCATTAGGTCTTCAAGGACCAATGTGTCCCCGACTTCGTCCTCCCGGGGCCATCTGAGTTCCCAGCTAAGTGCCAGCACAGAAAGGAAACTCACCAAATATTTGGTGACTCCAGTTTCTTTTAAATGTCCCAGTCTTCAAACACAAAAAGACAATCTTCAGTCTTCGTGCATCTTTCAAGTTTGGTAATGACTGAACCACCTCTTGGGCCCACAACACTGAGTGGGCTGAGGTGGGGAAGGCACAGGGGGTGCCCCGGGAGTGAGGGGGTCGGGAGTGGATGGAATAAGTGCGTCCGCTGGGGTATTCTGCCCTGGAGAGGGCTTGCACCACTCCCACCCCTGGATGGCTCGCTGGGCATGGGTAAGGTGGGAGAAGGAAGACCAGGGAGGCCTGAGGTTTAGTCAGGTCTTAATATAGAGGCTGTTTCATTACAAGGCAAACAGAGGACTCTTGCTGGTTGTGCTGACACCTGGCCACTCCTTAGTGGTCTCTGACGTCACTAAAACCTTCCCCAGCACCCAGGTGAAGGGCCTGCCCTCTCCTCCAGGGCCACCTTCTCCTCCTAAAACAGCCTGGCCACCCCACTCCCAAAGGATCAGACATCCCTGTAAAAAATGTCTAACCTATTTCCTCTTTGTGGGGAGAGGGACCTAGAGGCAAATGTTATGCAGCTTAGTGAATTCACGAATTGTCCTCTACTGCTGAACCCACCCCACTCCCAGCTCATTCCTTTACGTAGCCCTCCATGTTGATGACCAGCTTTGCCCTCCACGATTTCATTCCAGCTCATGTGCCTCTCTCCAAGCATCCCGGGGTCCTCTGCATCCTGCCCCATGGACCATAGAGGCAGTGACAGTGGTGTCCCCATCAGACGAGGGGCTCCCTGAGAGCAGGAAGTGTTTGGTGCCCCTGGAGCTCTTCCCAGTGCTCAGAGCATGCCTGACTGCCTGTGGTCCCAAAAGCAAAGCAGTTGAAGAGCCACTTTACGCATGAGAATTGATGAAGGACCTGGGACCCAAATCTCCAGGTCAGAAGACGGATTTGGGGTGTTGAAATGATGACTCTGAGTAGGGAGACGGTGTCTGCTTTCTGGTGGGGGCTGTCCTTACCTGTTTCCCGAGCCTGTTTTCCCGCCTGAGGGTGGGGACCAGGGTTGTTTACTATTCCCTTTGCAGTTCTGGAAAAGCACCACCATCCCCGCCCCGTTCTGCTGCTCTGCAGTTTATGGCAGGGTGTAGCACCCCGGCCATCCCTGCCCTCTGCTCTGCACCAGAGAAGAAACTATTCACTGTTTGTCCATTTATTGAGCCCCTCCTGTGTTCCAGGCACAGGAGACATGGAAGTGCGTGGCACTCAGCCCTGCTCAGCAGTGAGATGGGAGCTGAGCGTGGGGGGAGAGTAGGGTCACTGCAGCTCACAACTGGAACAACAGTGCATGTGTGCATCACCATGGCTTAGGACCGAGAGTTCTAGAAGGAACTGCAGTGAGTTCAGGGAAGCCAGGTGGGACACACCAGTGTTGGGTGCAGGAGACACATGAGAAGAGAGTTGGCCTGGCTGGCTGTCAGCTGTATCGTCCGGGGAAGGAGATGGGCGTTTCGTCCTCCAGGAAGGGTGCAGTGGGGGCGCTCACTCTGACCTGCGGTCCTCGTCCTCTCTGCCTAGGAAGAGTTCTGTACGTGACAGTGGTTTTAGGAGTCTTGTCTGTCTCCTCCACCCTTGGGGGGGCTTCCCTAGTCATTCCTCCCTGGACCCTCCATTTCCCTAACTCTCAGCCTATAGATATTTGGGACGATCAAATTACAAGTCCATCTGCCACATCTTCCAGTTCTCAGCCGGAAGCACGTCTGTAGCTTGGATGAGCCACCCCTTAGCTATTCTCTCTAAGAAGAGGGAAGTGGTGATCCAGTATTTGCAAGCCCGCAGGCCTTCTGAGAGATGCAGAAGGTGCCGTGGACTAGGTCATGGGAGACTCAGCTTTAGCCCCGGCTGTCCTTGGCTCACTGTGTGACTCCGGGCAAGCTTTCCATCCCTGAAAAATGGGATTCCTGCCCACACTCTGCGTGCAGGGACGTTCACTTCCATTTAGGTACTGAGATGACTTCCATGGCCTTAGAATGGAATAGCTGAGACATTTAGAAAAGAATCTTGGGTGGGGGGAGGAGAGGACTTGCCATCTTTAGTCCCAAGAGCCTATGTTGGAAGGAGCAGGTGTTGGACCAGGGAAGCTGGAAGGGCATTCTGCTAAAGGATGAGCTCTGGGGGAAGAAGTCAGGCTTTACTGAAGGCTGACTGGAGCTCGGGGGGCCTACTGGCTTGAACTTCTGATCTTCCCCACATCCCCACCCCCGCCTGTGTCTCTTATCTACCTTCATGCCGGCTCATTCATTTCTTGAGTGTACCCTTGGGCCCCTTTGGGGTTGTGACCCCTGCCAGAAGGTGTTAGCTGGTAGCTGCTTAGGGTGTGATCCCTCCTGGAGTGATTCACACTTAACAATTGCTGAGGACACGAAATACCTCAAGGCTAAAGGCATGACTTTTAACAATCATTGATCACTGTGGGAATAAGGGGGATGTTCCTGGGCCTGAAAAACACACATGATTCTCGTGGCTCCAGCTGGTCCTGAGAGAGGCGGGGACAGAGTGTGCCTGGGTGCTGGGGTGGGTGGAGAGGGTGCAGCTTCAGGACTCCAGCTGTCTCACGCCAAATCACTGAAGGGACCTCCTCCCTGTGCTTCAACCGCTCTCTTCTATGGGACATCTGCCCAGCGGCTTGTGGGGAACTTGCTCCGTCTGTCCGTCTGCCTGGCCCCCACCATGGAGACGGGCAGAGAGGCGTCGGTCACTTTCCCCTGATGCCCTTGCAATCCACCAGAGCTCACCTACCTTCTGTAGATAGTTGCGCCCTGTCCACAAGGCCCTGCACCATTTGTCCTTGCGGATGCTCTGGTGGTGGAGCTAGACGAGATAGAGGAGAAAGAGTGCAGCAGAATAAGGCTGTGCTGGGACCCAAGAAGGGCAGGGCAGGGCCAGGACCAGAGCTGGAACGCAGTCATTCAAGCGTTGTGGGAGTTGAGGGAAAAATTGTGGATTGGTTCATTCATTCACTGAGTCATTCATTGATTCCCACCCCTTTCTCTGGCATTCTCCCTCCCTTTGCCCTTCCCTCCACAGACACCTATGAGCACCACTCATAGAAACTGCTCGCGTTGTGGGTACAGAGGCGGCAGCCCACCCTTTACTGTCTGTGGTGGGAGGGGGTCTACTCTGGGGACAGCACCCATGTGACCTGGTGAGGCAGGGCAGGGCGGGGCGCCAAGGACAGCCTGGCGCCCAGGCCACGGAGACCAGCTCCATCCGGGTAGGGCAGGCACTCAGGGGAGGGGAGGTGGGGCCCAGAGTCAAGTCAGTGAGGAGGATGTGGTGAGTAGTCAGAGCATTGAACTTGATCCTGAGAGAGTACTGAGGGTGTGGTGGGTAAGAGTTGGTTGGTTTTCTTTCGATTTTTTTTTCCTCTTTTCACCAAGGATTTTGGGCAGGGTACTAGCTGCTCAGATTTGCACTTTCCAGATCCTTCTAGGTGCACGGTGCAGAATGGATTGGTTAGCTTTTTCCAATCCCAGGCTTTAGACCCAAAGTAATTTTGAACCTTTGGCAGAACTGGATTCATACTGTCTCCTCCTTATCCCTGCAGCTAATCCCCCCACATGTCCAAACCCCCTCTCTGAGGAGACAGCCAGCAAGCCCAGCGTGTGGCCAAACGGTGCTGGCCCCGCCCCCTCCAAGGCCAGCATGGGGTGCCCCTGGCCAGAGGGTCTCCCCCACCTCACTGACTTGTTAGCGGCCTGGCCAGCTCAGCCCTCCCCGGGGAGTAGGCTGAGGGGAAGATCTGGACAATGCTTACCTGTTCTTCTGTCTGGCTGGATGGGAGGTATTCCTGGGGGAAAGAGAAAGAAGGAATGAGGGCCGCACTGCTTCCCCAGGGGCTTGGTGAGGCGGGAAGGGCTCATGGTTCTTTGGGGTTCGGTGCCTTTGGTGGGTAGTTGGCAGAATTCCAGTCCCTTCCCATCATCCCCGTATGGCTGGGCTGCTTGACTGCTCATGGGGGGGAGACAGTGTGGAGCCCTGGGAAGGGCACAGACTTTGGAGTCTGTGGTGCCTGGCACTGCTTGGACATCCTTGGAAAAGTTTGTAACAGGTCTGAACCTTAGTTTTCCCGCTGGTGATAAAGGGGACGTTGTTGTGAGATGTCATATGTGAGCATTCTAGGTGCTCAATAAATCTTTCTCTGTTCTCCCCATCCCCTGTTCCTCATGGGGTGTTGGATTTCGAAGAGACTGAAATGGCCCAGTCGAGAACACATTTTGTGGAGAAGAAAACAAAGGTCAGAAGTGTTTGGTCATAAGTCAGCTTTCTCTGTTTTTATGTGCATATTTTTTTTAATTACAAAAGCACTCTTGGGGCACCTGGGTGGCTCAGTGGGTTAAAGCCTCTGCCTTCAGCTCAGGTCATGGTCCCAGGGTCCTGGGATCGAGCCCTGCATCGGGCTCTCTGCTCAGCAGGGAGCCTGCTTCCCCCTCTCTCTGCCTGCTTCTCTGCCTACTTGTGATCTCTGTCTGTCAAATAAATAAATAAAATCTTAAAAAAAAAAAAGCACTCTTTGAGTACATGCCCACTATAAAAAGAATCAAGCCATGAGAGGTTTGTATAGTAAAAATTAAAGTCCCTTTCACTCTCTCTCCCTTACTTCCCCTTCCCAGCCTAGACGTAACCACTGTTGACAGTTTCATATTTATTCTTCTAGAAATTTCCCTATGTATTTGCTTATACAAGTGTGTAAGTAAGCAGTTTTTAAAAAAAATTTTTTTAAAGAAGTATTTATTTGTTTTAGAGAGAGAGGGAGAAAGTGCAAGCTGTGGGTTGGAGGTGGGTGAGGGAGAGTGAGACTCTCACACACACTCCCGCACTGAGCCTGGAGCCTGATGTGGGGCTCCACCTCGGGACCCTGAGATCATGACCTGAGCCGAAACTGAGTCAGACACTCAGTGACTGCGCCACACAGGTGCCCCTCCATTGATGGTTTTTATGTTATTTCCAAATTCTTGCTATTACAAACAAGTTGGCAATAAACACTCTGATGTAAATATCTTAAGATTCATGCATCAATAGCATTTCTATTTTGTACATGTTCTGAAGTGAGACTATTGGTAAAAGGTATGTGTACTTCCAGCTTTGATGGAGATTGCCAACGTGTCCTTGACAGGGTATAAAAATGGTAGTTTCCTCAGACCCTCACTGACAACACTTAAATGTGTGTATAGATATAGAGATAGAGATATAATATAATAGAGATAGAGATATAATATAGACAGTGAAAAAGGAGGAACTACCCTCTGTCCAGATCCCCTGGGACATGACTTCTGCATTAAGAATATCTTCAGGGAACACGGGTTCATTTTAAGAATTCTATCTGAGCCAAACAGAATCGACTACGAAAGCTTGGCCAGTGGCTTGGCTCACATCTAGACACTGATTCCCAGCTTCACCAGCTGTCTCTGGAGTCATCCCTCGGATGGATGGCAAGGGCACCAGCAGGCTGGGAGGCGTTCCCTCACCCTTAGGGTGACCGCACCCCCACATGCCTGAGCCAGCCCCGGATTTAACACCTGTAGCCCGGTATAATGAATTCTCTGAAGTGTCGGGTTTGACGATCATTCCTATGGCACGGGCGACCCCTACCAGCTCCTGGAGGCCTGGGCTTGAAGCTGGGCCCCTGCCTGGTGTCATCAAACCCGCTCAGAACCCACCGGACAGCACCCACCTTTGTCACTCACCTCTCACCCGCTTCCCCATCAGCCCAAAGAACTGGCTGGCTTTGCCCCTCTTCACCTGCTGGAGCTGGAGGTGAATGCCATCATCCTGGGGAGGCGGAGACGTCATTGTTAGAGCTGCGGGAGAGGCTGGGGCTGGACACGGGACAGGGTGGGCAGCCTGAGCGACAGCAGGATCATGCCCCCTGGCTCTGTGCCGGCAGGTGGCTCTGGTGCCTTCTTTAGCCAGCACGGCGCCTAGACACAATCATTCATAGACAGTGTTCCACCACCTGCGTTCCTGGCTCAGAGCCCAGCACTTTCTCGTATTAACTCATTTAATCCTCCCTGAAGCCACACCAAGTGAGAACCTGTACAATCACCATTTTACAGATGAAGACACTGAGGCAGAGAGACATTAGTCCTCCCAAGCTCACCAGCTAGGTTGTGAGAGACGGAGCCAGAACTTGAACCAGGTCACCCGGCTCAAAGGCTCAAACACTGCAGACACAATCTCACTTACTCTTCGCACATGCCGTATGAAGTGACTGATTGATCCCTCACCTACGGATGGGGAAACTGAGACTCACGGAAGGTAAGTGACTTGTCCAAGTCACGCAGGAAGCGGCGGAGGCAGAATTTGAACACAAGGAGTCTGACTCCAGAGCATGGTTCTGCTCCATCATAGAAAATGTTTCCAACATAGACAGGAGCGGGCAGCTGGGGAACTCACGGTGGGCACCCTATAGGCAAGGCGGGAGGGCTTCCCCAGCACCCCCGCTCTCACTGCTGCTGACCTCTCTTCCTCCCAAACTCCCCACATGGTCCCAGATCTACCCTACCCCACAGCCTGGGCCTCCCACGTGGAACATGGCATGTGGCCTGGGGTGGAGGCCACTCCTCTGGGCAAAGACATTGTCGTCCTTGAGCTGATGGGGCGAAAAGTCTAGGCCAATGGTGCTGAACTGAAGTTCTCGTTTTTCCATCAGGCTTTGTGATATTGGCCAAAAAGTGTGGCCTCACTTTCTGGCCTTAACCTGAGCCCCCAAAGGGCTTCTCAGCCCTGTTGAGAGGGAGAGATGCTTGCTAGTGGAGAGGGTGACAGTGAGTAACAGTCATCAGACCATCGTCACATCTCTGTGTGCCCAGCACCTGGCACAGAGCTTAGAACACAATGTGTGCAGGATACTAAAAGCTGAAGAGGGGCCCTTTCTAAGCCCTGGGCCAATTCAGTCACTTCCAGTCTGTCTCCTGTGCAGGATGTCAAGGACTGGGGCAGCTGTCTCAGGCTGGAGTCACCTAGCCTGGCTAGGAACCGGAAAAGTCTCTTTGGAGATTTGGACCCACTGCTGAAAAGCTCACGAAAACCACTTTGCCGGGGTAAAAGGCAGCCTTCATATGCAAGTTGGAGAGAATGGCTACTTATGAAGTCTTATCTTTCTCCCGCCCTCCCTGGGCTTTCTGGACCCTGGCTTCCCTTGACTCAGGAAAGACCCCTCCTCCACCTGAAGCCTGCCTTATGCATTTAACCCAAATGCCTAGCTTCAGGGATGACGACAGGTGGGGGACCCCCCAGGGCTGAGGCAGTGATCCGCTCATCCTGACGGCTGCCTTGTTCCTTCCTTCTGTCACCTCAGTCCTCCTGTGTGAATGGCTCCTCTACTCCCAGACCCGTGTCTCAGGGAACAGAACAGCTATGAGACCCAGCTACAGGGGGAGGTGCTCGCAGGTGGAAGGCCCAGCAGCACCTGGGGAAGCGGATGTTTCTCTCGTGGCTGTGAAGAGAGCTCCCCGTCACACCACTTGGCTTTGCTGGGCCTGGGCCAAGTCCCATGCTTTTAGGCACAGACTCTGCAAAGACCCTCGGGGATCATTTTATTCTCCTCCCATGTCACAGGTGGCCAGAAAGCAGCAGTGATTCTCAAGGTCGCGCAGAGTCCATGGAGAAGCTGGGACTTGAACCCTGGTCTGTGCACCCTGCAGTCTTCTCCACTCCACACGCTTCCACATCAGACAAAGCAGGAAGGAAACTCGCCACCAATGGCCGTTCCTTTGATGGCTCTTCCAGTGGCCCCAGGGTCCTGACCAGATGCTGTCATTTTTGGATTTCTCCCCAGTGACCACATTCAGGACCGTTTAGTAGAAGACAGTGGCCATCGGACCAAGTAATTATCATGAAATAAGAGAAACGTGGGAGATGTTAACAGTGATCCTGCCCTAAGTTGACCCCCTTGAAAGGGAATTCTGGAAAATTTCCTCTGATGCACAGACAAACCAAATCTGATCTCGGACAAATGTGCTTTTAAAGCTGCATAACATTGGACAAACTGTTTGACCTTTCTGTGCCTTGGTTTCCTTAGCTGTGCAATGGTGATAGTAACGGTACCTTCCCCACAAGGCTGATAGGAGGATTAAACTGGTCAATATTTATGAAGCACTGAGGACAGTGCCAGGAGCAGAACATATGTGACATAAAACACAAACACACACACGTACACATACACACTCACACACTGTTGCTCCCATGTATGCTTGCCCCTTTGGATGTCTGCCCAGCCAGGGCCTGTGGCCCTGAACCTACCTGCAGAGGGGAGTCCAACAAAATGGCTAACAATGTACAAACCGCTCTCTGGGCAGCTGTGGAAGGGATCTCCCACCCCCTCCACCGCAGACCAGCCCGTGCCTCACCCCCCAGTACCTCCAGGGTCAAGGTTATCCAGGACCCTGCTTCCGCTCCGAGTGCCAGTTCCTCGTCAGCTGTCACAGTGCCTGCCGACAGCCCCATCAGGAGAAGCAGGGGGAGGCAGGGCAGCATAGTGGGTACTGCTTTGTCCTGGGACCCTCCCGGAGCTCCTCGCGGCTTAAAGATGCTGTCTCCAGCACGGCCTGGGGCCTCTCTCTGGCTCCTTTCGTGTGTGTTTGGGGAAGTGGGGGTGGGTGAGTCTCCACCTACTCTCTGTCCTTCCAGTTACCCTGCTTTCCTTTCTTCAGCTTATCTGGCCCCTGGGGCCACTTCCTGTGACTCCCTTCCCTCCCTCCTGCTGGCTGGAAAGACCAATGATACCAGAGGAGGGACCAGACCTCTTCCACTGCTGGCCCAGCACTTGATCCCAGGGCTTAGCACTCTGATGCAACACTGGCCTCACCTTTTGGCTGTGTTCCCTTGGTGGCAGGTGCACAATGGGGCACTGTGTGGGGGCCTGGCTGGAAGCCCAAGGGGGCCTGGTCGTCCTGGACATGGGGAAGGGGAGTGTGCGGCTCCTCTCCTCCTGGTGCTCTGCTCCCCTGTAAGAGAGGCCTCTCCTCCAGAACTCAGTGTTTGACCACTTGTCTCCCCATCACTGCGCACACCCACCCCGAGGTTCCCCTCCATCTAGGGACCTCCACATGTACATAGAAACGCACATCTTGCCCTGAGAGAAATAACATAGTGCTTAAAGGAGTAAAGCTCCTCAGAGGGAAGAATTGGGATTTGCCAGAAAAATGGCCTTCTGCTCAAGGTCATCAGCTCTAAACTACTTCCCACTGCTGGTAAGGTGATCTTTCTAGAGCCCTAACCTGGCAAGTCTCTCCCGGCTTACAGCCTTCCAGTGTCTCCCCATGGCCCTTGGCATAATGTTCGGGCTCCATAGCATGGCATTCAAGGTCCTTCTCCACTTAGGTCCTCCCTGTTTCCCATCCATCCATCCATCTGTCCATCCAATCGTCCGTCCATCCATCCATCCATCCATCCATCCATCGGTCCATCTGTCAGTGTAGAACAAGGGCCCTGTGGTCAGAGACCTGAATTCCAATCCTAGCTGCACCATTACATAGCTGTGTCACCTTGACACATTACTTAGTCCCTCTAAACCTTAGACCCCTCATCTGTACATGAGATTAACCATAGCACTAATTTCCAAAGTTGCTGGCGGGTGAAATGAGATCCCACGTGTGCCACACTTAGCACAGAGCCAGGCAGTAAACATTTGACACCGTGAACTGTTATTACTGTAACTGTTATTGCCAGGGTGAGGCCCTGGGCCACAGATGATGAATAAGATGCCAGCCCTGTCCTCCAACATCTCCCAGTCCAGGGGAGACCCCTGGCTGGTGGGGAAGCTCTGTTCCATTTGGTGTGTGCCTGCATAGGGACGGGAACAAGAGAAGGTATGTCCTTCTCTTGTTCCCATCCCTATGGTCCCTATGGTCCCAGACATGCTGCACCGCCTGCTCCCAGGACAGGCTCAGACTCCCTGCCCCGTGACTTGACCTTGGCTTGTTGGCTCTGCCTGGTACGACCCCACCTGGTACGACCCCACCCTCCTTAAAGGGCCCACTTCATGGTCACCTCCACAGTAGGTTTTTCTGTGCCTATTTCCTCACTCCAGCAAGAATTGATTAGTCCTTTTCCTCGGTTTTCCTAGTATCCCACTTACATCCCTTGTAGCTGAGCACAGGGGAGGGGCGGGAGTGGCAGCCAAGTGGGAGAGTGGATGGGAAACCCAGCCCTTGCTCTGTTCACTGAGCCTCACAGCCTGGTGTGAGGCTTTGCTCCGCCGGAGGAAGGTGCTTTGCTCCATTTCTCCCAGAGGAGACCTCTGGGCTGAGAACAGCCCCTCCTTTTCTGCTGGGTTACGCCCCAGCTATGTGAGAGTGGGGCTGTGATATATGTGCTTGGCGCACAGTGGGTCCTTAAGAAATGTGCAGTCACTCAGAGTCCAGGCCAGTGGAGACAGAGAGGGATACGGGCAAGCACGGAGGTTTGGGGGGGGGACACCCCCCACGCATCCCCTCCACTTTCACCCCACCCAGCAATCTCTTTGGTGGATCCCAAGCCTGATCCCAAACCTGCACGTGCTAACATGCAGATTCCCCTGGCTCAGCCCTCTTCTGGCCCCACCAGCCCTGGTTTCTGCGTCTGTCTCAACACTCTAGGTGACGGTCACTCTGCCTCCCACGGAACTTCCCCAAGGGCGGGGCATTCCACTTTGGGTTTTCCAGTGTTGTTGACAAGCTATTCCTTCCAGGGAACAGTTTCGCTTTTCATCTTCATTTTACAGATGTGGAAACTGAGGCGGGTTGGGCTTGCTCTAGAAGCCTGTACTAATTGGTGGCAGACTAGCATCCCAGACCCCAGTCAGCTGCTTCCCACCTCACACTAGGGCCTCAGCCTCTAAGGGCAAGCAGCACAGGGCTGGAGGCAGAGTGACAGCATGGACCTCTGGATGTGTGTGTGGGGGGGGGGGGGGGGGGGGGGGGGGGGGGGGGCTTCCTGTTTTGCGGGCCCAAAGAGAGGGGGGGGGGGGGGGGGGGGGGGGGGGGGGGGTGGGAGATGGCTTCCTGTTTTGCAGGTCCAAACAGAGTGACCTTAGGACTTAAGAAATATCCCTGGGCCTCAGTTTCTCCATCTGAAAATTGGAGCTGCAGCTCATTGGATGGTGGTAAAGATTTCATGAGTTCCCCAGTTTTAAAGAGCTCAGCACAGTGACTGGCACATAGTTGGCGCTCAATTAATCCAGTGACTGGCACATAGTAGGCGCTCAATTAATCCTCACTTGTTTTCTGTGATTATTCGACCTCTGGAACCCTGGACCTCGGCGTGGACTCCCGGCCCCGCCCGCGCAGAAGCCGCCCGCCGTGGGACAGGATGTGGCTGGTGCACAGCAGGGAGGAGGCAGGAGCCACGGGGCAGAGGAGAGGGCGGCGGGAAGATGGGAGAGAAAATCCCAGAGGTCCGGAAGGCCGGGAGGAAGGCAGGGCACCGGCTGGAAACCGCGGCTATTTGCAGCGCTGCCTTCGGGCTGCGGTCTCCCGGCTGGCGCTCGCTGCCCTGGCCGCCCAGCCCGCCGCCCCGCCCGGTGCCCTCGGCCACCCGGGCACGGCCCCGTGATCGCGGCCTCGGCGGGAGGGCTGGGGCGCGGCAGCCAGAGCCCGGACGAGGCCGATGGCGCCGAGCCGGGCGCGACCCCGGAGGGCTGCATGGAGGCGGGTGCGAGCCGGACGCGAGGGGCAGGGGCGGGCGCGGGGGTCCGTGTGGCCCGCGAGGCGGGTCGCGGCCGCGGCTGCGGCGAGGCTGCTGGGGCGCCGGGTGGGCGCGCAGGATTGCTAAAGGCTGCGGTTTGGCGAAGACCGCGGAGCCGAGAAGAGCAAGGGCGCAGAAGGGAGGGAGTTTTTTAAAGCTGAGGGCGAACAGCGAGGAGGGAAACACGAGAGGAGGGCGGGCGGCGGGCGGCGGGCAGGAAGCTGACGTTTCCCGAGCGCCCACTCCGTCCGCAGCAGGAGGGAGGATGGGCGCGCCGGGCGGCGGGCTCCGGGGCGCCGAGCGCCGTGGCTCAGGCGGCCCAGTGTCGGAGGGGTAGGGCCGGGATTCGAAACCGGTTTGCTGCTGCAGCTCACTCTCTCACCTGCACGGAGCCCGCGGACACTGGCGGCCGGCGGGTGGCCGGGCCCGACCGCCGAAGAAGCGGAGCTGGGAGGGGAGGCCGCGGGGTGAGGGCTTTGGGGAGGGGTCGTGGCCGCCGCGTGGGGACGCTTGTGGGGAGGGGGCGGGCGTGGGGCGGATGATCTGTTCCACCACCCCCCACCTCCCGCGATGACGCCGCAGGGGGCCCTGCAGCTGTCTTTCCTGCGCCCCTTCAGCGCCCCCATGTGGAAGCTTCCCCTGAAGTCTGGTCTCGCCTCATACGACTCGGAGTTGGCGGGTCCAGGCAAGGCAACCGCTGGGCCCTCCCTGGTCCCCATAGCCTGGCCTTTGGCTAGAGGGACAGGAGGTGACCGAGGGGGCGAGGCTCCTCGGGACGGCAGCCTGGTCCTTCTAGAGGAGGGCAGTGGAGCGGAGTAGCCCGGAGAGCGTGATTGGCGCCACCCCTGAAGAAGGACTCCCGCAGTCGTTGAGGCTACGCTGGTGCATTGGGTCAGGGATCCCGGACTTACTAAGCACCTCGCAACGCGGGAGTTGCCCCAGAGCAGAGAGGAAAGAACCACACAAGCATTTATAGCAATTTTAACTCAGTGTGGAAAGTGCCATGGAAGGGGCATCTGGGGAAAAACCAAGATTCCTGGGCCCCCTTGACTCCCACGGATGGAGCAGGCACCCTTCAGACGCTTGTCCTTAGGACACTCTGGGCTTGGGAACGTGGGTCTTTGCGCCCAGAGCGCACAGGAAGCCGACAGAGCAGTTGCCCTCTGTCCCCAGAGGTTGTGGGGGCCAGATACCTCTGCCCAGAGTCACCGAGGACATTTGGGCCCCAGCCTGCCTTGTTTTTGACATTTAGACCCTCAGTTAGGCCTGGAATATTTCTGGAAGGGCCTGAAGTTATTGCTCAGTTTCAGAAAGAAATTCTCAGAGTCTGGAGAATGATTCAGAACATTCCCTGACCTCACACTTATGGTCAGACACCTCCCCCACCATGGAAGGTACATCCTGACCCTGGGGCCCCTCTCTCTGTAGGAACTGGCACCCACTCACATCTTTTTTTTTTTTTTTCTTTCTTTTTTTTTTTTTTCAGTTAGGCTCAGCAAGGAAAGAGAAATACATGGTGGGAGGTATTTGTCCCCAAGAAAGATTTGAGTCAAGAGTAGAAGCAAAGCATAGCACAGCGGCTAAGAATGAGACTCTGGGGGGGTTCAGCCAGTTAAGCATCTTCCTTCAGCTCAAGGTCATGATCCTGGGGTCTCTGCTCAGTGGGGAGTTTGCGTCTCCCTCTGCTCCTCACCCTGCTCTCCTCACCCCGCTAGTGCAGCGCTCCCTCTCTCCCTCTGTTTCTCAAATAAATAAATAAAATCTTAAAAAAAAAAAAAAGAATGAGATCCTGGGTTCAAATTCTGACCCCAGAATTTTACCCTCTGTGTGATGTCAGGCGTCAGGCTTTAACCTTTCTGGGCTTCATTTCCTTTATCCCCAAGGTGGGGATCATAATATATTCAC